ATTTTTTTTTTTTTTTTTTTTTTTGTGGTACGCAGGCCTCTCACTGTTGTGGCCTCTCCCGTGGTGGAGCACAGGCTCCAGACACGCAGGCTCAGCATCCATGGCTCACGGGCCCAGCCGCTCCATGGCATGTGGGATCTTCCCGAACCAGGGCACGAGCCCGTGTCCCCTGCATCGACAGGCGGACTTTCAACCACTGAGCCACCAGGGAAGCCCTGCTTTTGATATATTTTATTGTCAGTTTGGTTAAGTGAATAAGTACTGTTTCACAGTGACCTATGACCCTATTTGACTAAGTGTTTTGAAACTTTTTGATATTTTTGACAAATTTCCCAAAGGTCAAATTCTAATTAAAGTTCATTTGACCTCTAGCTAACTTTGAGTTTTCTAAAGGGCCCCTGAAGAACCTCAGAGAGAGATATTAAAGTAACTAGGATTATTTGGTATTTTAAATTACATGGGAAGCATTGTCAAAGAGTGATAAACATTCTCAGGTTATACTGTATGGGTAAATATTGTTAATATAGATATGTTAGAAATTATATGGAATTCCTAAAAAATCTGGTATGCCCTAATAAAACGCTATCAGTCATAATTCTAGTTATTACCTTACAATGTTGTCTGTCATAGCAGTAACCAAGTTTCTTTGTCAGTTGCATTGTAATAAGATCTTTAATGATGCCTTTTGAAGTTTTTTGTCATTTATAGAGTTTATTATTGTACTATAATGCTTTTGCAAAAAATGCCTCATCTTCAAGAAGATTCATGGAAAGTACAGGTTTCTGATATCTTGCAGATTATGCCACTGAACTGGGTAAGAAAAATGAATCCTGATGAAGGATTCATTACATAGGACTGAGTGAACTGGAGAATATGGTTTTATAAAATGGTTTTTATCTGAAATATTACTGACTTTAATCTGTGTTCTCCAGATATAAGTAAAGCTTTCCCCTTAAGCTAATTATGACTTCCAGCAGCTTGATAAATTATACCTTCATAAGGAGAACTGAAATACTTATCTTTTCTCTCTACCTGATCCCTCCAGAAATTGTAAACTCTTAGGTTTCCAGCAGCCTTATCAGGTGAATAAGGAAGATCACCTCCTGACAGGTGCAGGAATCTCAAGGTATTTGGGGGTCCTCGAGAAGAGAAGAATTCACCCAAATCTATAGATACCGCAAGCAGAATCTGTGATAAGCCCTTGGCTGGAGTGGCTTTCCTGGCCTTGAGAGTCCTTTTAAAAAGTTCAATCTGAGATTCCTTATGAAAAGTTCCAGCACAGCTGATTTAAAAGAGCCTATATGATCAATTACACTTTTGTAAATAATCAGGCCAAGTTTACTAAAACCAGACTTATTTTGCAAACAAATTAGTCTTTAAAAAATTTTTTTTCTATTTCTTTAATTTATTTCTTTATTATTTTTGGGGGCTGTGTTGGGTCTTCGTTGCTGCACGCAGCCTTTCTCTAGTTGCAGCAGTAGAGTGGGGGCTACTCTTCGTTGTGGTGTGCAGGCTTCTCATTGCGATGGCTTCTCTGGTTGTAGGAGCACGGGCTCTAGGGGCGCAGGCTTCAGTAGTTGCAGCACACAGGCTCAGTAGTTGTGGCTTGTGGGCTCTAGAGCGCAGGCTCAGTAGCTGTGGCGCACGGGCTTAGTTGCTCCGCAGCATGTGGGATCTTCCTGGATCAGGGCAGGAACCTGTGTCCTCTGCACTGGCAGGCAGATTCTTAACCAGTGCACCACCAGGGAACCCCGACAAATTAGTCTTAATTTGGCTATATTTGGTAGAAATTAGGGTAATTTTAGAGAGAAAAAGATTATGTTCCAGTGGATATTAAATTCTAGTTTTGTTAGTTGAGAACAGTATTTACTGCCTAAGACTCACTTCCCAGATAACTCCTTGTTATTATACTACATTATTGTAAAGTTTAATTGAATTATTAAAAGGACACTCTAAATTTGTTTCTGAAGCTTATCACAGCAGTTTATCTTTGGATGAAGATCAGATGCCCCATGACCTGCAACCAGGAAATTATTCATCCTGGAAAAGGCATCAGTTAAAGGACTGTCTCTAACCTAGATGAAAAGACCCTTATTAGGTACTCTTAAGTAGCTCTTGCACAGCAAAACTGAAAGGAATTGACTCTTGAATTCAGATTTCCCACTTAAGAAGGGTATCTTCACTGGACTGGCCTACAGAAAGGACTACTGACTGCAAATGACACCCACATCAAGATGAGAAGGAGAAGAAGATGACAGCTGTGGTAGACTGTTGACCCAAGAATCTAGACCAGGTCTGTAAGACCCATCTTACTAATTCAATTGAACTGTTTACCAAATGTTTGTCTCCTATCAAAATTGAAAGTTATTATTTTACTTCTAACCATACTGTTGCCCCAATGTTCAGGATAGAAGGAAAATTCTCTAGTGAAGTTATCAGAGTATAACTGCTCATGACAGGTATCACTGCTTGCTTTAGGTCTTCTGCTAAAAGCACATGTACAATATTTGTGTGAAAATTTGGTGTAATGGATAAAATGTATATCCTATAAAATGTTTCCCCATAATCAGACCTCTGAACTTGTTCACTATGTCTGATTAGTTTTCACCCAGTGTAGATAACTAGGCATATCTCTCTGTCTATGTATATATAGAGATAGATAGACATAGTAGATATAGATATCTATATAGATATAGCTATAGATATATATAAACAAAAAGGAGGTCTAGCACTGAGGGACATGATGGATTCAGGGAGGCAGCAATCATCTTGGCATCACAGGACAAATACTTTGATCTATCGAAAGATTTGCAAACAAAAGTTTAAATGATCAAAGAAATTTTCACATATTGAGGTCTGGGAAAGTCATTCTGGCTTATACATCATTTAAATTAAACTGGAACAGCCTATTCTGTGGCTTGTTGAACATACATTGTATTACATCTGCTTTAACCATTAAGGAAAAAATTGTATTTAGAAATCAAAATAGAGTAACTGTGGTTCAGACATCCCAAATAGAACTGGGTGGCCATGGTTTCAGATTTCTTCCTATATTACTGAGGACTTGAATTTTCTGAACTGTATCAGACTCAAGAACACCACCAGCTGTTCTCAACATCTGCTAGCAGCCCTCAACTGCAACCTTATGGTCTCAAGGTGACTATGAAATCTTTATCTTACTTTAGGAATATTAGTAACAAATGAGACAGCTTTAGCCTCCCAGCAGAAGGCATTAGATTCTTTAGCCAGACTAGTACTCGACAATAAAATTGCTTTAGAATAGATTTTAGCAGAAAAAGGAAACATATGTGTAGTAGCTAATAGCTCCTGTTATGTATATGTTAATACCATATCAGAAGTTAAAACCTACTTACACAGAATTAGGAAATTGGCTACCTGGCTACAAGTCTCCCCATTAGTACCAGGTCCAGGCTGGTTTTCAGGCTTATTCTCCTGAATTCCTCAGGGAATGAGATCTATTTTCCAAGGTTTATTAAAGTTTGGGTTGTCACTCCTCTTACTTCTAATTGGTTATCTGATTATAAAATGCGCTGTACAGGGAGATCAGCTCAGTGTTTTGTGACCACCTAGAGGGGTGGGATAGGGAGGATGGGAGGGAGACACAAGAGGGAGAAGATATGGGGATATATGTATATGTATAGCTGATTCTCGTTATAAAGCAGAAACTAACACACCATTGTAAAGCAATTATACTCCAATGAAGATGTTTTGAAAAATAAATAAATAAAATGTGCTATAAGCTGTTGCACCAAAATGGTGGACCAGGGGACTAAAATTTAATCACATAAGTCTTGGGTCTAAGACCTGGAACTCGGAAACATGTCCAACTTGGTATGCAATGTTTCCATTCCCCAAATTGAGGCAGGACTATGCCCCATTTCAGCAGGAAATAGAATAGTCATCACTCTGTTCCCTCAAAGATTTGGGGGAAAGTTAAAACAGGAGTGGGGATTGATGCCGAAGGCTCAACTTCTCTGTACACCAGTGCCAAATCAAATCCGAGAGACAGAGTTTTGGGTGAAGTAGAAAAGGATAGCTTTGTTACTTTGCCAGGCAAAGGGGGACGCAGCGGGCTCCTGCCTCAAAAAACTATGTGTCCCAACCCAGGACGATTTGATGAGGAGTTTTGACAATACTTCCCAAGGGTGGGGTTGCTGACAAGATTAGGGTGTGTGCTGTCTCAGATGGTCAGGTCTCCTAATCTTGGCTCAGGTGGTTTCTTGGCTGCTCCTCCCTTGATTAGCAACTGTTCGAATCTGCCCTTTGGAACTCCGGGAAGGTCACGGAGGCTGGAGTCTTGCCTACAAGAAATGGGGGACAAAAAGAAACCTCTGTGCCTGGGAGCCCCACAGGGCCCCGCTCAGTTTCAGGATTGAAGCCAAGTCCCCCTAAAATTGAGTTTCTTTACTGAGTTTATGATTAATCTCTCTACCCAAAACTTTATCCCCTTTCTTATCCCCTCTGACCTCAATCCTCTGCTAACTAAACAGTAATCAACAGAATCAGATGACTAAAATTGCTGTGTTGATAACATTGTTAATGTACTAAAAGCTATTAGAGATATCATCATTAATATACAAACTCGGGTTGTTTCTCCAGGGCAAGATGAGCTAACAGACTGCAAGCCATGGACCACCTGGCCAGAGCATCATAAACCAGGGACATCCTGACTTTCAAAACTACAATGAAGAAATGTCACAAGACAATTAATTCCAGCCTGTTTGTTCTTTAACAAAATCCTAACTCAAAGACCGAGTTGAAGTGTATCTGAGGTTTATCTTCCACTCCCTTGCTTGGAGCACTGTGATAAACACTGTACTTTCCTTCACCAAAAACTGGTGTCAGTAGATTCGCTTTGCTGTGCCTCAGGCGGGATGAGTTCCATTTGGTAACACAACCGCTCAGCTAGTAGTGTGGCAATCTGTGACCGTGGGTGCCTATGTGGCCATTCATTTTAGCTACTAGGGGCCTCTTGAGACCTCATGTGCCACATAAGATTGTGTGTGAAGACCAGGATTGCCTGTGTTCTGGTGGAACACCTGTGATTCCATGTGGCTTCCTGTGACTTCATGTGACCCTGTGTGGCAGCCTGTTACCACATGGAGCCTCCTGTGACCTTGGGTGGCCTCAGATCCAATCTTCCCAGAAAGAGAGATCTGAGGTCCCCAGAGAATATGGGCACTATCCGGCGTAGCTGCCCCTTTTCCAGTTCCTAAATAGACCCTCACCGCCCTCTCTCCTCTTTGGCTTGCAGACCTGACATCCAGAGGCTCCTGGTGTCTGAAAACTGGGGTCCTAGGGAGCGTTAGCGTCAGCGGGAACCGGCCCACCGGCAAGTGTGCCTCCTAGAACAGGTGACCGCGACCTCTCTGCCACCCGAGCCCGCCCAGCCATAAAAGCCAGCATCGCGCTGGGTAGGGGTAAGGGTCGCGCGTTGGTGGGGTGCGCGCGGCGTCGCGCTCCTACGCTCGTCGCCCGTGCTGCCCTCTCCTGCCGGTTTCCCCAGAACTCCGGGTCGTGACGTTAGGCGGGGCGGAGAGGGCCGGTCGGCTCTGCAGCCTGGCCCCTCCCCCGCCCGGGGCCTCGGCGGTTCCCACGCGGCTGTGAGCGTGCGGAGCGCCCGGACCTGGACCGCGGCAGGGCTGGAAGGGGGCTGGAAGGGGGCTCCGGTGCAGAGCGGGCCCGTGGCGCCCTCCCCCTCCCGCCAAGACACCGCAGCCGCGCGCGGAGGCGGGGCGCTGCGGAGCCGGGCGAGGGGGGGGGGGCGGGGGCTAAAAATACCCGGCGGCAGCGGCTGCGCGGCTTCTGCTGGGGCTGCGGGGCTGTGGGCCGGGGAGGTCGTGCCGGGCCCATCTGGGTCCCGCTGAGCGACATGCTGACCTTCTTCCTCGTGTCGGGGGGCTCCCTCTGGCTGTTCTCGGGTAAGTCTTCCCCCTCTCCCCGCCCTCTTCTGTGACCCTCATCCCTGGCACGCGGAGGGGTCTTGGTCCCAGGCTGGGGGTGATCCCCCAGCCCCGGCTGCCGAGCCATCCTTTCAGGACTACCCTGGGCCCCCCAGGTCTACCCCCTTCCAAATTCTGGCGGGCTCCAGGCCGCGTTTGGGAAGTGCTTGTGTCAGTGAAAATGAGGGGCCTTGCTCTCCGAGACCTCACAACAACTTCCCTCCGGTTCTCGACTCCCCCCGCCCCTTATAGTGAGAACCATCCGCCGAGCAGACTAGGCCCTGAGCCCACTCGTCCCCCAAGGCCAAGTCCAGGGACAGACAGTTCATCCTTGTCCATCTCCAGGATGCAGACCCTGAGGATGTTGGACCCTGAGGTCCCACAGCAGGTCAAGGACGTGACCGGGACTGACCTGGGGCTTCCTGATCCTGGTGAGAAGGCTTCCTCACAACCCCTCCTGCCCACCCTTCAGCCGGAGTACACGATTTCTGTAAAGCAGGGTTCACCTGGCTCCTCAGCTATGCCCATGGCTTGTGTCCCCACCCTGCCAGCGCCCACCTCTCCCCCTCACAGGAGTCAGCCTCTCACCCCTGCATCCTCTCAAGAAACCTTGAGAACCCCTTATGAATCCCTGCCCAATGCTCTTGCCCCCTCCCCACACAGGACCTGGGCTCTCACCCAGGGCGCAGTCATCCAACAGTTCTGCTGCCTACACCAGCCACTCCCCTCTGTGAGTGTTGGGTTCCTCTAGGTTATGATACCACTAAAGGGTCTCCACCCACCCCCACCCATACCCCCATGTGCAAATTCAGTCTCATAATGTATGTGAAGTGCTCGAACCTTAAACTGGCTTTAAGCTGGACCTGACCCAGAGCAAGTGCTTTATGAATGTTAGTTTTATTATTATTTCATGCTCAAACAGCATCATCAGAGGAGGTAGTAAGGTTCTTTCTGAGCCGAAGAAGGGGAGGAAGGCGACCCTTTTGAAATCCTTAACTGAAACCTTGCCTGTGTTATTTAATATTCACAGCAAATCCTAGGAGGTTGGTGGTGCTCTTTTTTTACTGAGGTTCAGAGGTTAATTGACTTGCCCAATGTCACATGGATAATATCTGACAGATTAGGATTTGATCTGAGTTTTAATTGATTTATCATTGCTAAGTGCTTCCTGGTATCAGGCTTGAACCTAGAGGGTTGGTAGGCCAGGTAGTGGTGGGCAGCCCCTGCCACCATTGCCCTGAGTCAGGCCACAGGGACACCTCCCCTGAGCTGGGGAGAGTGTGGCCTCCCTAATCCCCTCAGCTCCCTAAGCTCCTTCTGTCTGCCGTGTCTGAGGCCAAGCCGTGCAGGGGCACTCTGGGCCTGATGTGCTCATCCAACAGGCAGGGTTGGAGCTAGAGCTAGGGTTAAGAATAAAGAGCAGGAGTCATCAAAATAATGGTAATGATGATGATGATGATAGTAACAGCCACCATTTATTGCTTGGATGATGGTCTCAGAGCCTTTTCCCTGTGCCAGGACCCCTTTGCCCTACCCTTAGGAGGCCCCCACCCAGCCATGGGTCCAAGGGTAGCTCTCTGGAGCCTTGGTCTTCTGTGGCTACAGGGAAGTGCCTGGGGGCTACAGAGACACATGTGGCAGGAGTCATCAGCCTCTGAGAAAAAAAGTCCTTACAGTGCAGGATGCTTGTCTGAAAGTGGGATTCAGCAGATGCTAACTCAAACTGGTTTTCTGTCCTGCTTCGGCGTGGAGTGTTTCCCAAAGCGGTCAGGCGCCTCCTAGAATGAGGAAACTGCCTCAATGAAAGACTGTTCAGGGGCCTCAGAATAGTCAAGCAGGGTGACTCTTGGTACAGGTGACATCTTCTTCCCTACAGACCAAGTTTCTCAGTGGGTACAGGAAATTCCTCAAAGATGCCATACTTGGTGTAAGAGTGAGACACTGAGGCTGGTGTGTGGTACCCACTTCAGACACATTGTGGCATTCGCAGATCACGTCCACCTTGCTTGGGACTTTGCCTGGACCCCAGCCTTTTTTTGAGAGCAGAGAGGACACCTAGGCTAACACTGAGAACACATTCTGCCTTGTAATCGCCAGGGTCCCATGGCAGCTGCCAGATCTCTCTGGCTCAGTTAGAAATAGGAGAGGCCCCCTGAAGTGATATTACTGTTTGTAGAGTTATGTGCCGTTTGCCACCCAATCCAGCCCTAGGGAGACACGGGAAGGGTAGAGGGGAGCCACCTGGAGAAGGAACTGATTATATGGGGGAAGCAGCCATGTACTCTGAGCCTTAGGAGAGCTAGGGCTGTATTTGTCCTGTTCCCCGCTGAGGCCAGCCCAGATCCCACCTGTGTATTGAGTAATAAACAAGGAAACAAAATAGATCCAGTGTGGTGCGTCAGATGCTGTGCCTGGCCCAGGAAAACATGGTCTCAGTGCTGTGAGCACTCAGAGGACTATGGGAGCAATGGATTGGCTCTTCTGCCTGCCTATATGGCACCCTTGTACAAAGTAGAAAGAGGCTCCCCTCCTGGTGGATGAATTTCTAGGCTGATGCAGCCCTGTGTCCTTCTACAGTGTCCAGTCTGTGCCCCATATACCCAACCATCGGTCCGAGTGGGCTTTTGCAGCATATAGGGAGGGGTGTTTTGTCAGAGTCAGGTAGGCCAAACCCCAGGTAGAGAAAATCAGGCCAGCAAAAGTGTGCAGGAAGAACTGTGGTGGAGGCGGGTCTTTAGGGTCTTGTGCCTGAGGAGTCTAGCTTGTAGGAGGGGATGGAGTCGGGATGGAGTCTGGATGGGAGGGGATTCTAGAGAAAAGAGTTTTATTCAGGGGGGCAGAGGAGCCCTCAATTTAGCTGCAGTGGCCAGGCTGAGCCAGAAGGAGGAGGGTGGAGGCTGGGAGAGTAGTGGGAGGCTGTTGTGATGTTATGGATGAGAATAACTGTGGCCCAAGGATGGCCCAGTTGAGGCTGGGTTCCAGGAAGGGGAAGGTAGGAGGCCCTAGCTGTGACCCTTAGGGGAATGGGGGCTGGCCCTGGTGGCAGAGATTGGTGTGGCAGCAACCTGGCTGTAGGTATCCAGGGCAAGTGCAGACTTGCACAGCCTAGCTCAGCCCAGCCCCATCAGATTCTCCCCACACCCCTGCTCCCATTAGGGTGGAGGACTGGTGTGAGGTCTGGGGCCATCCCAGGGGGCCCAAGAAGGCAGCCAGGGCCCTGACAGATGGTGGGGCACCAGGCAGCACATCTGAGGGCATGCCTCACAAGATAAGGCCTGGATTTGCACATGGTGCACCACTGTGTGGGAGAATTCATACCTCAGTGCCTTCTCTCCCTCCCCGGCCTGTGGTAGGATACAGGGGTGCTCCCAGTGAGAGCACACTGACACCAGGGGGTGGCAGAACCCAGCCATTCTGCTCTCTGGCAGGTTTTCTGTCCCTTGTGATTACAGGGGCTCTTGGGTTGACCTTCAGAAGGCTGAACCTGGCTCAGCTACAGTCCCAGATGGGACCCAGGACTGTCCCCCACACACAGCATGCAGGATAAGTGAGCATGAGGAGTTTGCAAAAAGAGGCCGAAGTTACAGGCATTGGTGTAACAGAAGCTGCAGTGTGTAACTAGCCAGTGCCTGACACGTAGTAGGCACTCAGATATTCGTTGAATGAAGTACTTTTGGGGGGGAGCAGTGTTTTCATGGGGGAAGTGTTGTTGCAAACATGCTGACTTGACTGCTGTTGCCCTGAGCACCCATCACGTGTCCAGCACCATGTTCTACAGTTCCCCAAGCTTTCCTTTAATCTTACCCACAACACTGTGGTGCTGTTATCCCCATTTAATAGATGTGGCACAAAGACACAGGGAGGTTCAGTGGTGAAGCAACTCCTGAGAGCTGTGAGTCAGACCACATGCTCAGACTCCAGGCCAAGAAGGGACCCGGAGGATCAGGCAGGATCAGGCAGGGCCTGAGCCCCTCCAGCAGGCTAAGTCAGTGGGCACAGACAAAGGAGCAGTCCTTGGACGGGGAGGGTTTAAAGAGAAGACAGGTGTAAAGAGCAAAGAGCAGGGGCTGGCTCATAGGAAAGGGCTCACTGAATGTTAGCTAAAGTTATAACACCTTGAGCTAAGCCTTCCTCAAAGGAGGTGCAGGATTCTGACGTGCAGAAAGGGGGTAGGGAAAGAAAAGGCGTTCCAGGCAGAGGGATCCGTGTGAGAAAAGATTGGGAAGATGAATCAATGAGAGTTAGGGACTCTACTCAGCCAGCGGGGTCTCCAGGGCTGGCCTCTGCGGGCACTAGAAGGCCAGGCCAGGCAGCACAGGCTTCATTCTGTGTGGTAGATGCATCAAGGACATATGGCCCAAACTGGGCATGTGGATGGCCAAGGTGACACTGTCCCTACACTACTCAAGCCGCATGCATCTCCTGGTGGCACGCGTGCCACTGAACTACAGTCTTTTGCCTCCTCTACTAGCCCTACGATCTCCTTGAGGGCAGAGCCAGGGTGTCTCCTCCCTGCGCCCAAGCCAGGGCCGGTACACAGTGTGCATCAGTGTTGATTGCATAAATGAATGATATGAAGAATTCCCTGAGAACAATTTATCTTAATAATGAGGTGTTTTCTCACTACAAGTCCATTGGCTGACAACAGACCTTGAGTGTTCTCCTACTGGGTGCCAGGCTCTATGCCAAGCTGGGGGATATCACTAATATGGTAGAAGCTGTAGGGGAAAGCAGGTGTGAACTCCTTGCAGGCAGAACCAGATCAGCCTTCAGTGGAGAACCCGGAACAGAAGGTGGTGCTCCAGAAGTGTTTGCTGAATTAACGAGTGAGTGAATGACCACACTCACAGCTGTGGTGTGACTGGTTTCACAGAAGATAGTCTTCTCTGAGGATGAGATTCTGTTGTTTCCTTAGAGCTCCAAGTTTCCGGTCTCCCGGTAGGCTGGGAACTCCGGCCAAGCAGAGCTGAAAGGAGGCCCTAGTCAAGGTCCTCAGCTCACTGGATGATCTGGTGTGATGGCCCCACTCCTGCGTTGGCCTGGCCAGAGTCCCCACTCACCACCCATTGGGCCCCAGGAGGGTAGCACTGTTAGTGAGGTGCTACTTTGGGCCCTTGGGGTTGGCCTTCAGGTGAGGCCCAGGGGTGGTCCCACATAATTGCTCAGCTGCTCCAGGAGCCCATAGTTGGTGTGGTCATTCTCAGACCCAGTTACTTTGTGTGGCTCCTGATTTGTGTGAAGCTTGGGATCTGTGACAGGCAGAAGTAGGAGGATGGGAAATGGGCTTGGACAGATTCTGAGCCAAGCTGAGCTATCTGTTCAGAAGCCCAATCTAATCTCAGAGCCTGAAAGATTTCAAATCCCAAGAAGTCCCATCTGTGCCTGCTTACGAGCTCTTCCTGGAGAACTTTGCTCTCCCGACAGCTACTCC